GTTGTTTTTTTAAAAATTTATTTTTTTTTTTTTGCTGTTTTTTTAACCCGGCTTGTGGTGTGTTTTAAAATTCCCAAAAAAAAACACCCCCCCCCCCCCCCCCCCCCCCCCCCCCCCCCCCCCCCCCCTTTTTTTAAAAAAAAATTTCTCGCATTAACCGCAAGTAACCCCAACTAACCACCTTCGGGCTGTCCCGAAACCCCGGAGTAGCGATCCCCTGAGCGATTCACTCCCCCAGTTCCCGTCAAGCGTGTACGCGTCGGACACGCACGGGTACGCTCCGGGACCCCTCATGATGTTCCTCGTCGGCGCCCTGGGCAACTCCAGCTTCTTCCGTACGGCCGTGAACGCCAGCACAAGCACACCCGCGGAACAGACAGCCGCATACCTCCGCATCTGCAGCACCGGCCTGCCCCTGGAATCTTTGGAGTACAACGTCAATGTCCCTCTCACCACCTCCGAGCAGTGCCGCCGAGCCGTAGCCACCTCCTTCGAACCCCGCGACCCGAGCCTCATCCTTTCTGACGTCGTCTACACGTGGTTCGCCGCCCTCACCTACCCCACAAACGTCGAGATCTTGGGCGCGGGGATCTACGTCGCCCAAGAGCAGTACCTCACCACCGCGGCCGCTGCGGGATCGTTTGTCGGCAAGTCTGTCTACACCTCGCCGGGCGTGACCATCACGAAGCCCGTCGTTCCCCTCCCCGTCAAGGTCGCCGTGTCGGTGCTGCTGGGCATCCAGATCGTGGCGCTGCTGGCCTTGGCTGGGTACATCTACTCGACGAAGACGTTCGGAACCCGCGTGGATGCCGTGGCGGTCATGGTCTTCGGGCTCAGGGCTCGCTCCAAGCTGCGCGGCGCGGCTGGCGTATGCCGGTTGGGACGGGTGAGAGAGAGTGACCTCAAGAACTTGGAGAAGGTTGACGGGCTGGAAGTCTTTCGCGAGGCAGCGGGTGGGCCAACGGCTGCTGGTACTGGTGCTGGCCGAGACGTGGAGCTGGTTGAAGGGGGTGGGTTCCGGATGTCAGATGAGACCATGTTGTCCGAGGTTTACGATGTTGATGCTCGTGGCATTCGCAATTAGATGAGACTTGGTTTGGCTTCCTACATGGAAACAGCCAAGGATATGGTTGTGATACCCTTAACCAACTAATCTATCTCCCTGGCTAGCATGTTGATGACTAGAGGAGATCAGTCTGTAATATTATCATAATTACTAGCCATATTCCCCTTTTCCCTTAATTACATTGTAGCTTCTAGATTCCCCATATAGTCAGACCTTGTTCTTGGGAAGAGGTGTGATTGAGACAGGTGGCATTTCTCTACAGGTAAGCAGCATCTATGATGGACAAGGGGTTTTCCAAAATGTAAATAAGTAAGTTTATAAGGGAGCTTAATGATGTCTTCGCGATAGCCTCTTTGGTAAATCTAGCGTCTAGGATAGCTTACCAGTGGCTTGCCAATCCCTTCAAGTCTCTCTCACAAGTCTGCTCCTAGGACAAATGCCAATCCCACCCATCATGTTCCGGCACAGCTTTTGGGAAGCCACGTACCGCATGCCCCACCCCTACCAGACCATACGCCCCCGCTCTCACCCATGCTCCGACCTTCCGAAAGCTTCATTCAAGACCACGACCAGCTAGCGAGCGGTCGGCGCCACAGCTCCGTCAACAAGTCCGACTGGACAAAGGTGGTGGAGCAGGCCCGCACCAGTCGACCATCGCCATCCTCGTTGCCTGTCATCAAGCACAACTGGGTAGGTGCCACCAGGTCCTTCGTGTCAGGACCCTTCGTTGATGACATTGCCGCCGCCAGAAGCGACTCGGAGTCATCTGCCGAGGAGCTGCTCCCTTTGCATGGGTCCCGCTATCTGCGTCCTATGTAGGGGAACGGGCTTGGCCCTCTGAGCGTCCAGCTCCCTTATCCCACGCCGAGACGACAGCAGCTGCACACGACTTCATCTAAACGACCAACTACCACCACAACCAGAACCAATACGCTCTGCTATCAGTCTCGGGGCGATTTGATTGGGTTTTGTCCATCACATCCACCAAAAATGGCTCGGTACCCGACGCGGTGGGTGGCAATCCTAGAGAAAGACGAGAAAGAGGACGAAGAGGATGAGGGTGGTGGTCGAAGACTCTCGCGCTCGTCACAGACACCCCAAGGCGCACGTTCGGCTCCCTTTTGCAGTGGATGGTCTTCTACGCTGTGCAAGATCGCAGTCATGCTAGGCGTTGCCAGTCTTGCTTCCTTTGCACAACAACGTCTGCATTTCCTACCCCCAAACGTTGGCATCGTGACAGTTGCAACCTGCACCTTGCATCCTTTGCCAAGGCGGTGGTCAAGTCTGAGGACCTCGTGGCTAGCTGCATGGCTGTTTCCTGTCTAATATGGAGGAGCTATGCGGGCTGCGTGGTAAGGAGGAGAAGAAGAGATGGTTAGTGTTTGGGAACAGACCGTCGTATTACAGCAACAAGTATATGAGACAGTTGAGGTTAAGGATTATCTTGTTGTTATTAACGGCATTAGGAAGTACGTCTAGAACTTGGTGGCGGCATCAAGCAAGTGGGCCAAGGACGAATAGGAGGATTTGGCCGCTGCGAGCTTTAGCGGCGCTACAACTCTCTCCACTACTAAGCCGAAAGCCTAGAACCTCCACTACTAAGCCGAAAGCCTAGAACCTCCACTACTAAGTAGAACAGATCTTACTACTGGGTAGCCGCATGTATGTACCAACCTGTACGGCTCTAGGCCCCTCGCGGCCACTCGGCGTGCGTCTTCTAGTAGCTTATGACGCATCCTCCTGCTCCTCCTCTGCCTTTGCCTGCCTCCCTGCCGCTGCCTACGCCAAGCTTGCGGCCTATAGCCTTGAGCTTGTCCTTGACACCATTGACCTAGCCTAACGCTTAGTTCTTCAGGCACAGCGCTGCCTGCTTGAGGTCATGTCTAAGCTGCTGCCTAGTTGCTACTTGGCGAGAGGGGGTTGGGGTATGCTGTTGCAGCTGCTGGTGCTATGCTTCCTGTGTTCCTAGTCGAGGCAGAATTGCAACTCTATGGCCAACGTCTTGGTCGAGAGCCACTTGTCTAGGAGGATGGGATGACTGTGGGGCTGTAATTAGTTGCGCGGGGTGGGCGGGTAGCTGCTTGAGTAAGGCGCTAACCCCACAAACTTTTAGATCTTGGCGCCCGATAATGACCTCCTCTGACGCGGCCACTTATCCGGAAAACCTCAGCCGTTAGGCTAAGAATTTCAAACCTCGATCCCTCTCCCATCTTCGATTTCTCTCGCGACATGCCACCCCCTTTTCAACATACCTCCGTATTGACCCTTATTGCTGATAGGAATGTCCGAAGAAAACTTGGAAAGTGCTTTGGACAGTCCGGGGTCGAGGGCAGTCGCCAAGCTCGCGCGTAAGAGAGCTACAGATCGCCGTGCCCAGTGGGCTGCACGTCAACGACGACAGCAGTACATCGACTCACTACTTCGCCAAATCGATGTCTTATCCGGTCTTCCTCACGACCAAGTCCACGATTTCTTCCAGACAAACGAACGTTTGAGGGCTGAGAATGAGCAGCTGCGAAACAGAACTGGTGCCCTGCTTGACGACAGGCCCGAGAACGGTGACGGCGCTAGTAGCGCAACCAGCTCGCCGCTTCAGCTGCTGCACAATAAGAACCGTATGTAGGGGAACGACTGGCCAAGATTCCCACTGACAATTGTCAGATTCTAGCTCTCACGATCCTTCAATCCTTTATGAGCATTTCGACAGCGATACGGCAACGACAGTGCAACCTCCTTGCAGTCCACAACACCCACGACTTGAATTGTTTCAGTGCCTTCCTTATACCGTGCCACCAACTTGCCTACCCGACCGAATTCTTGCCAATTTTGTGCTCGAGATGAAGCGCAATGAAACATCTACTAAGCTATGCGCCACCTGTCCTGACATATGGTTGCTTTGCCAACCTCGACCACCTCAGCTGAGCAGATGTCCTTCGGTGGTGTTGATTGACATTATCAGCACATTTCCGGATATCATGTGTCTATCAGAACAGGTGGCCTCCTTCATCTTCATGTATAAACTACTACATGTGAGCATCTACAGCCTACAGGACGTGTAGTGTCTGCTGACGGTCTTCGAGTGGGAGTGTTATCCCACCCTCGAAAGCTACAACAGCATACCCGAGTGGCTTCGTCCGACCCCAATCCAACTCCGGCTTCCTCACCCTGCCTGGATGGACAGAATCCCATGGTAGGCACCCGCCGTGGCTCACAATGAACTGACTAATAATAAAATGGACTTAACAGGCCGGGCATGAGAGCCTATCTCATCAACCAGCAAGAGAGATTCAAATACGACGAGTTTTTAACCTTTTACACGGCGGCCGTGACAGTCTCTTGGCCATACCCTGAGACAGACATCCTTATCTCGTGTCATTCTGAATCCTGTTGCAGCCAGATCAGGATTAATCCCGTCTTCGAACACCATGTGATGAACCTCGATACATGGAGCTTGAAGGACTCATTCCTGAAACGCTTCCCCGTGTTCAAGGATACACTAGGCCATTGAACCTATTATACAGTACTGGAATCGCGAAGGGTCGTTTCAAACTTTGACTGGCGGTCAAAAACTGCACGAAAAAAGGTCGCGCCAGCCCTTGTCTGAGACTGGGGGCATTCCTAGAGCACCTCCAAACATGTCGTCCCTGAAAGACTCGTACACTCCTTCAACCTCTCTGAACCTTCCTCCAAACACGAGTATCGCTCTTCCATACATGTCGTGGGATAAAAGGTGTGCTGCAGCGATGGCGGGTTGAATGGGGTCCTGGTTCTCGAAGACGTATGGCTCCTCTTTCCCTGCATTGACCGGCTTCCCTGGGGTGTTCCTCTGCGCAAAAGAGTCCCCGAGATTTGTCACAACCGGGCCGGGTGCCACCGAATTCAAGCAGATTCCGAAGTTCTCATACAAGTCTAGGCTTGCAGCTCGCAAAATTCCTATCACTCCATGCTTCCATGCTGTCAGACTCGCTATTGAAAAGTCGAATGGGACCGCATACCTTTGACGAAACATATATCGGGATCCCAGGAGTCTCGTAACCGGACATGGAAGAAGTCATGACGATGTGTCCAGGCACTTTCAGTTTTCTGAACCAGTGGACTGCGAGCTTGACTGTATTCAGCACGCCTTTCAGACTGTGCAGCGTCGAAGCATTTGTCAGTAAGTCTGTCTCGCCATGATCGAGGCCTTGTGCATCGTACTTAACGTCGATGGCGGTATAGCTCATCCCCAACAGCTTTCCGTCCTTTCCAAAATGGTCTTCGAACAGATGCTCGAGCTCTCCAATGCCCGCATTGGCAAACACGTAATCCACTGCCCCAAACTTCTCGATGCAAGCGTCAAAACTCGCTACCATGGACGGCCATGAGGACACATCGGTGTGGACAAAAAGCACATTCGAAGGCAGCTGCTGTAGCACTTCGGGTTGTGGTTTCTTGTAATCAGCAATCACCACGCCTTTGGCCCCCTTTTGAGCAAACAGCTTCGCACAGGCAAGGCCGATGCCAGATCCGCCACCTATTCTTGTTAGCGAATGTTCATTTATTGGCAAGGCATTTTCACACCTGTGATGTAGACAACTTTGCCCGTAGCCAGAGGAACGTCATCGATTTTCAGGGGCAGAAGGGAACCGGTGTCGGACATTTTCGTCTTCTTGCTCTTGTCATAGAGCTTGTAGCAATAGGAGGAGGTAAGGTATCTCTCCTCGGCTGTTCGGTCGTCCTTGTTGCTGAACCACCCATCATATATATGTCTGTCCAGCTTGATAGCAGCTTATCGACACCGAGGGCCTGTTGGGTCTGCGGAGGTGAGGTGGTCAGGGGTCAAGAACCCCTCTTGATTCATGCTGAATCAGTGGTCCACACCTTCAAGCTCTCCCCGCAATTTGGCGCGAGCCCTCGGCATTCTAGCACCAGTTCTAGCAATGTGGGGCTACACGCTAGCAATGGTCGTGCCATAGAGCTATGTCAGTCAGTACTCTGTATCAGTGGCAGTCAGTATCCGACAGAGCCAACAGCTGCTCCCTCCTTGGGTTCTTAAATGAGAGATACCGTCGCGTGTAGAATTCATTTCCTGGTCTATCTGCACTGACAAGGCGAGAGAGCTCAGAACAACATCCAGAATCAATCATTATCTGTAATTCATTATTACTGCCTACATTTCTCAGGATGGGATCTCTTACAGACATTCCCAACGGCATGGCCAACGGCTATGTTGTCAGTGACAGGGTGCATTCTGATCCGGATCCAATCCGAGTCCTTTGCGTGGGCGCTGGTGCCGGCGGCCTTTGTCTGGCATACAAAATGAAGCTCCATATGTCCAATTATGAATTGGTCTGCTACGAAAAGTTAGTCTTCTAGTCTCGAGTGACAAGAGACGTGCAAGTTACTGACATGGAAACTTCTATCCCAGAAATGACGAAGCTGGCGGGTAAGTCCTCCCGAGCAACTTTGGTGATCAACTTCCCGTTCTTACTCTTTATCAAGCGTTTGGCATGAAAATCGATATCCCGGCGTGAGTCAGACTGTTCCAATTCTGATTCTGATTCCGAGACTAAGAAAATCATCCATCTAGTGTGCCTGCGACATACCAGCCCATGTTTACACGTACTCGTTTGAGCCGAATCCATCGTGGTCGACGTTCTATGCATAGTAAGTGCGCCCATATTGCGTTGGCCGGCCGCTGTTGCTCATTGTTCTTCAAAGCGCGCCCGAGATCAAGAAGTATTTCACGGACTTCCAAGCCAAGTACGGACTGCAGCAGTACATCAAATTCAATTCTCGCGTCACCTCGGCGGCCTGGAACGAGGAGGAAGGGAAATACCATGTGGAAGTCGAAACACCCGAAGGACCAAAGCAGGATTGGTGCCATGTCTTGATCAATGGTTCCGGCATTCTCAATGACTGGAAATGTCGGACATCCCATCATATCTGCTTGACTTGAGGGCTGAACGCTGACTCCCATGACAGGGCCAAACATCCCGGGCCTGCACGACTTCAAGGGAACGCTGCTCCACAGCGCACACTGGGACGAGTCCGCCGTCTACAAAGGAAAGCGAGTTGCCGTCATTGGAACGGGCTCGTCTGGAATTCAGGTGAGCTTGCGCAACGCAACTGTGTGAACATGGACGCACAAACGCCTGACGTCTCTGCGACAGATTGTGGCAAACATCCAGCCCGAGGTGGAACACCTGGTCTCGTTCATGCGGTCCCCTACCTGGATCTCGCCCGCTGTTGCCCAGGATGCCAAGGCAAGCCTCTCCCAGTCCGAAGGCGGGGAAGAGGCCGAGAAGATCAAGAACCCATTGGCAGCAATGCAGTACCACTTCAAGGAAGAGATCACGAAGTTCAAAGAGGACCCCAGCTTCCACCTCGAATTCCGCAAGAAGATGGAGAACGCGATGAACAACTCGACAGACGTGTTTGTGGCGGGATCGGAAATGAACAACGCCGCCCGGAAGATGATGGAAGCCGAGATGGAGAAGCGACTGGGCCCTGGAAATGAGGAGCTGAAGCGGAAGCTCATCCCGAAGTGGGCTCCAGGTAATACGCCATACACATATAGACATGATGGGGCCATTGTTTGCTGACAGATGGCACAGGCTGTCGGCGTCTGACTCCGGGCGATGGATACCTCGAGGCTCTGGTGCAACCCAACGTCACGAGAGTCTTCAACGAAATCGACCACGTCACCCCTGAAGGGCTTGTGACCGACGATGGAACGCTGTACGAAGTCGATGTCTTGATTTGCGCGACGGGGTTCAACGTCGGATTTACGCCGTCTTTCAAGCTGGAAGGAGTCGATGGCAGGATCATCCAAGACGCGTGGGCCAAAGAACCCCAGTGCTATCTCGGGCTAGCTGCTCCGCAATTCCCAAACTACTTCACTATCCTTGGTCCGCGAGGCCCGTGGGGGAACGGACCGCTTCTGCCTTCGGTATGTATTTCGGCATCCCGTGTGCGAGACAATTAAGCTTACAGAATCTGCAGATCGAGACGCTGTGTGACTATTTCGTCGAGGTGATGCAGAAGATGCAAAAGGAGCAAATCCAGTCGCTCGTGGTCCGCGAAGAACCCACTACTTCATTCAACGAGCACGTCGATACGTGGATGGCGAAGTCGGTGTGGATGACCAAGTGTCGCTCATGGTATAAGATGGGCACCATTGACGGCAAGGCCTGGCTGTGGCCGGGAGGGGTATGTAAAAGTGCATGGATTTGCTTGCTGTTTTATTGCTCACATGTGGCCTTCGCAGACACTCTCATATCTCAAGACCATCAAGCAGCCACGTTACGAAGACTATCTCATCAAATACAAGAACCGAAACCAGTGGGCTTTGTAGGTTTCTCTCGACCATTTTGCACTTGGCTGGAGCTAACTCGTATAGCCTTGGAAACGGTAAAATCGCTGCAGAAGTCCTCAACATCACCGAACAATTGGCTCCGTACATCAGGAATTCAGATACGCCCTGGACTATTTAACATCTAGGCGGGCTTGGTTGGTTTGTGTTGAGACGTCTTGGAGAGGGGTGGATGAGCTATAGGTGTGTCACGCAATAGATCTGAATACATGTGATGTTTTAGTAAATACAGAGCCTCTCCCGTCCTGAATTTTGCACGAGCTAATCTTGGGTATTGACGGAGGCGCTGCCTGCACTAAATAGAGCGAGCGAGGATCTCACTAGACAAAGCATGAACGATTAGAAGGACTGGAACGCCCTTCACACTACACTTGTTAAACGAATGTTGCAAGAACATATCTAACTACTCGACATCTGCTGACTTAAGGTAATGTGTGCCCATCTCTCACATTGGTAAAGGCCCACCGTGGAGCAAAATAGCCAGCCGGAGTATCCAGATTCGAAGCAACGATCAGATCAGTGTTTGTGGCAGTGACCAGGTGCGATGCCGACTGCACCATGGCACCCGACTTTGCAAGGAATTCACAAGACGCTCCAAGCCTCGTCCTGCATGTCCTGCATATCACAACCCCGTCCTGCTTGGCTAGGAGAATGAATCATTAAAAGCCGTTACACTTCCTGTGAAAACACCCCTGGTTTAACTAGCACCTAGCTTTCTGTGCCAATTGTGACTTGTTTGACCATGCATGTTATAATTATCGCGCCACGATTGGAGGGGAGGCAGTGCGCTGCGGCTGTGGACAAGCCGCTTCTAGTGGATCATTCGTTCCCGTTCATGAATCAGTCTGAATCATGCCCCAATGCGTCTCTTTGATTGGTTGTATGTACGTTGATAATTCTCCATCCACCCTTGCACTCTGTTGGATACACCACTAAGCCATCCCCTCAAAAAATGCAGCGCTACTAGGTAATAATAATTATTTGACAACTCCTATTAATTACCCCAGACTTGGCTTCCCAGGTCGTCGCCCCGCGTCTGAGGTCATAGTGTAAGTGTGCGAGGAGATGGTCATGTCCTTTTTCGTCGTGTGTGGCACATAACCCCCTAGTTTAGGGTGGTTCAGTTGGGGGTCTAGCCCGCAGAGAGCCGATTTTAGCTCGACGGGTTCTCGCTGGCGAACGAGTCCCCGCCTTTCCGACTTGCCGAGGAAAGATGTCTGTATTGGGGATTAAATGAGTCAGTGGAGTCGGTAATCATTTCCCTGGTGTTCTGCGCTGGCCTTGATACATCCTGGTAGTGTGGAGATGGGGGCGGATATCAAGGAACAGTCAAGAACTAGCATATCTATGTTCCCGCCGAGTAGGCTAGGCAAAGAGAGAGATGCACATTGACAACGACTGACTCATTCAGTCATCAGGCTTTCTGGGCGTTATAAGTTATGGGGAATTGCAGAAGCAGAGGCCGCCGCGTCCCCTCCCCCGCCCCTCCTTCCCCTGCGTCCCGGGCGCCGTGGATGCGACAGACTAAAATAACCTACACCCTGATTTGCAACATGGGGAGCGTCCTTTGGATGGTATACATAGTAGTGGCCAGCCACCTCTGTCTCTTATTTGCAGTGTAGTTGTGACGCATGGTAAAACAAACACATGTTCTCAAGCTCAAATTAGCTAGATGACAATGTCGGGCCAAACTCCCTATGAGGCAGAATTTGATCGCGCCGCCAGGCGTCTGGGAGAGCTTGCCAAGACAGATCCCCAGGTCGCCGCCGTCGTGCCCGACGACAGGGTGACCAGGGCCATCCAAGATCCGAGCCTCAGCTATCAACAAGTGCTTACCGCCGTGCTCTTTGGCTATGCGGACAGGCAAGCCCTCGGCGTGCGTGCATACGAGATTCGAGACGGCACTCGTCACCATTTCCCGACCTTCACCACCATCAGCTACGGCCAACTTGCCAAGCAGGCCGAAGCCATCTCTTGCGCCTGGCGCTATGATCCGCGTTTCGGGGTCCGGCCGGGCGAGTTCGTCTCGTGTGTCGTCTTCACCGGCGCCGAATTCATCGCCGTGGACATGGGCTGCGTCTATTCGCAAGCAGTCAGCGTGCCAATCCAAGCCAATTTGGCGTCCGATGCCGTGGTCGAGATCCTGAAAGACACCGCGCCATCAGCCATGGTCGTCAGTATCGATTACCTTGACCTCGCCACCGACTATGTGCTCGGGCAGGGCAGCTTCAGAAGCATGGTCGTGATCAACGCCAACACAGGGGTCGATGCCGAGAGAGAAGCGATCGAGCGGGCGCGCTCTCGACTCGAAGAAGCCGGCGGTGGGATCGCTCTCGCCACCTTCGCCGAGCTGGTGGAGATTGGCAGGGCCTACGAATGGACTCCTCTTCCCCCACGACCCGAGGGCCGCGATGCGCTCTCTATGCTGATGTACACCTCGGGCAGCACAGGGACGCCAAAGGGCGCACAGATCCACGAAGGGATATGCCTCATGTTCTGGACCGAGATCAAGCGTTGTCTCCCCATCATCATCGTCGCCGACGCGCCTGTGAACCACTGGATGGGCCGTGTCGAGGTCATCATGGCGCTGGCTTCGGGCGGCACCTGCTACTTCACGCTGAAGACCGACCTGTCCACGTTTGTCGAGGACGTTCAGACCGTCCGTCCGACTTTTATGCAGATTCTGCCCCGCTTCGCCGAGCTTGTCTACCAGACTCATCTCTCCGACGTGCAAAGCCTCGTCAGCCGGGGCGTCGACCCAGATGAGGCTGACGCCCAGATGCGGAAGAAGCTACATACCTACCTCGGCGACCGAGTTGCGTGGGGTGTCTTCGGCAGCTCGCCGACTGCGCCCGAAGTGAAGCAATTCTTCCGCACCTGCTTCGACATAGGCGTCGGGGAAGGCTATGGCAGCACCGAGTGCAGCGGCGGTGCGACGACATTCGGCGATCGAGTCAACCGCTCTCTGGTGATCGACTACAAGCTGCGAGATGTTCCCGAGCTTGGCTACTACACCACCGACAAGCCGTACCCACGCGGCGAGCTGGTTGTGAAGACGCGACACCAGATCAAAGGCTACTTCAAGCGGCCCGAGGCGACCGCCTCGGTGTTTGACGAGAACGGCTATGTCATTACGGGAGACATCATGGAGGAGCGTGGCCCCGACCATATCGTCTGGCTCGACCGCCGCAGCAACGTGATCAAGCTCTCCCAGGCGGAATTTGTTGCAATCACGCCCCTCGAGAACGCGTACCTCGGAGACAACAACCCGCTGGTCACCCAAATCTACGTCTACGGCAGCTCCTATCGCGCCTTTATGCTCGCCGTCGTGGTGCCGGACATCGCGTATGCGGGCAAGCTACTGGGCCACGAACCGTCCGACGAAGAACTGCGAGTCTTGGTGCTGGAGCACCTCCAAGCCCGTGCCCGCGCCGTTGGGCTCAAGTCCTTCGAGGTGCCGCGCGACGTCGTCATCGAACGCGAACCCTTTTGCCTGGAGAACGGACTCCTCTCCAGCGTGCGGAAGATACTGCGACCCAACCTCAAACGCCGCTATGGCGACCGACTCGAGGCGATCTACGAGAAGATGGACCGCCAGCGACGGGAGGAGCTGGTGCAGCTCCACAGCACGAACAGCAGCCTGGGGACGCGCGATCGAGTGGCGGGCGCGTTCAAGGCCAATCTAGGACTCGCCACCGTCGACCCCTCCGCGCCGCAGAGCTATCGGGATCTAGGAGGCGATTCACTCGGCGCGGTTGGCCTGAACAAGCTGCTGAAGGACTTGTTTCAAGTCTCGCCTCCCGTCAGCATCATCCTGAGTCCCGGGGGCAGCGTCGAAGTCCTGGCCAATTTCATAGATCAGGCTCTTGCCGGCCCCAATGACAGGCCGACTTTCAGCTCGGTACATGGCAAGAACACGACATCAATCCGTGCCAGCGACCTGACCCTGCCGAGCTTCTTCGACACCAAAACGCTGGAAGCAGCAGCCCAGGCCACGCCGCCGCGGACAGATCAGGCACGCACAGTGCTGCTCACCGGCGCGACCGGCTTTCTCGGCCGTTTCCTCTGCCTTCAATGGATGGAGAGCTTGGCCGCCCGTCAGGGCAAGGTGATCGCAATCGTACGCGCGCGCGATGCCGTAACCGCACACGCCCGCATCGACGGAGCAATTGGCACAGTCGACAAGGAGCTCACACGCCATTACCAAACACTGGCAAAGAACCATCTAGAAGTCATTGTTGGCGACCTCGCCCTCCCCATGCTTGGTCAAGGCGAAGAGGAATTCGGAAGACTAGCCCGCGAGGTCGATCAGATTGTCCATTGTGGCGCGCTGGTCAACCACCGACTCGCCTACCAGGATCTGTTCGAGCCGAATGTCGTGGGCACCGCCGAACTTATTCGTCTCGCGCTCACCGGCCGGCTGAAGCGGTTCGATTATGTATCGACGGTCGGCGTGCCCTATACGAACCCCAGGCTGCTCGAAGCAACGGAAGATGCCGATGTCCGCGTCGACTCCCCGGAGATGTCGCTTGCTGACAAGTATGCCATGGGCTACACTGCCAGCAAATGGGCTGGCGAGGTGTTGCTTCGCGACGCGCACGAGCTCTTTGGTCTGCCGGTGAACGTGTTCCGCCCAAACATGATTCTCGCGCATTCCACGTATCGAGGGCAGATCAACGTGCCAGATATGTTTACCCGACTGCTGCTCAGCGTCGTCGCCACCGGCCTTGCCCCACGCAGCTTCTACGAGCTGCAGAAAGACGGCAGCTGCGCGAAGACACATTACGACGGCACGCCGGTCGACGTCCTTGCCGGTGCGCTGCGTGAAATCGGCGATCAGCCGTATGCCGGCTTCCACAGCTACAACACCATAAACATGCACCACGACGACGGCATCTCGTATGACTCGTATGTCGACTGGATCGAGTCGGCCGGTTATCCGGTGCAGCGGATCGAGAACCACGCGGACTGGTACCAGCGCTTCGACTCCAAGCTCCGCAACCTACCTGAACAGGAGCGCCAGCGCTCCTCCCTCAACATCGTCGAGCACTTCCAAGAGCCACACCCTGTGGATACACCGACGGTTAGCACGAAGCGGTTTGAGGAGGCTATTGGCAGCCAGAGAGTGCCGCATATTACTGAGGGATTTATCCACAAGTATCTTGGCGACATGGTGGCTCTGGGTCTTATAATGCCAAAGCCTGCATTGAGTAATGGGGTTTGATCGACCGAGGCACTAGCGACTCCTCCGCTCCACTTGCTGCTGCGGGACTTTGGTGACGTCGTTGTGTCAAGTGTTTCTTTCCTTCCTCTGAGATGTCATCTACTGTCGGTTGCCTGTTTCGTATTTCGAGTGTGCTTGAATGATGCGAAGCGTTGTCATTGTCTCTGGATGTTGTGCCTCCGGGGACCCCGGGGGGAGAAGTGAAGTTGGCTTCGCAGGGGGACCTTAGGATTAGCTCTAGCTAAACTGTCGTAAGAACACAAATGGGGACTGTTTATGGATCGTATCACATGTCTTATCGGCGACGTAGGTGTATTTCTTGTGAGTAGATGTCGCTGACGAGCAGCCATCGTCTGAATCGGAATCCGGCGCGCTGATTTCTGCCCGAAGAATTCGGGGCTTTATGCTGGTAGAGTTCTGGCCCCGAAATGTGTCTACTGACGCTGATGGTAGTTAACGTGGTTGGAGAGAAAGGAATACGTGCGGACGGCGGCACAGTCCGAAACCGCAAGACGGGTTGATAATAACAACCTCCTAAAGCTCTTGCTGACAAGAAAGTCCAAAATCTAGCTTATTCCGTAAGGGTCTATGTTAGCCCTTGGTAGTTGGGGTTTACATGGAGGTATTGGAAGGATAAAAGGATGCCCAATAGGCAGGCGCCTCATACTAGTTCCAGATGGAGGAGATCCGTAGTCGATTCTTCTCATAGTAACCGGGCCATTCGGGTGCAGTCTAACATGCCATAAAGTCTTGACGACATCAGGACAATCGCTACAGCTCCGGTCTGAAATTGATCAAGGCCGGTATTTCCAAGGTGCTCGTCTGCCCAACGTCCCAACCCCAACCCCATTCTTCTCCGGATCAGAGGTTCCGTCCGAGTGCAACTCACCCTTCCCAGCCCTCCTATTCTGCCCGACCATGTAAGCCCAGGCGCCGGCCAACATAGCCGCCGCCACGATGGTCATGATCAAGCCATCTTGCATCCCCGCCCTGTACCTGGGCGCCTGGCTCGTGCGGAAGATCCAGGCAGAGACAAAGCCAGCTACGTTACCTACGCCCACGACGAAGCCGCACCCAATTGCCCGCTGAAACGGCGTCGGCAGGTTGACCAACGTCATGGTCCAGATCATCGGAAGGGCGACGTACACGCCTATGCCGACTAGATACAGCGCGAGCATGGTGACGGGCGTGCTCACGACGCGCGGCAGACGCAGGATGGCGTACCCGACGATGGTGGCTAGGTAGCCGGCGAGTGCAAACCCGGAGCGGTGGTCAAGCCTGTCGGCGCCCCAGGCTGCGAGCAGGCAGGCTGCGGCGGACACGACGAAGATGGGCACCACCTGCCCCTGGACCTGGGGCACGGTGAAGGTCGGGTTGAAGGCCTGCACAAACGACGGCGCGAAGATGGCGACCGAGTAGGCAGTCGTACAGGTGAAGACGTATAGGGATGCCCACACGTAGTTGAGCGGGTTGGAGAGGAACGACGCCCATTCAGCTGCCAGCCCCGCGCTCGGGACGCTCTCGGCCAACATGGCAGCTGCTATGGCCCCCTTCTCGTCCTCCGTCAGGAAGCGCGCCTTTTCGGGCCGGCTGGCTGTGGAGAAGCAACAGATCAGGCCAATGGCCGTTGTGAGGCAGCCTTCGATGATGAAGATCCTATTGGAAATAGCGGTTCTAGGGGTTAGAGAGTCATCAACCCAAACACCACATACCAACTCAGGTGGAAGGACCTCACCATCTCCAGCCATGGTAGCCGTTGGCGCTGTCAATCTGTGCGATGGCGTATGCGAGGATGTTTGACACGATGTTGGACGATATGTTTGCCACCATGAGCATGCTGAGCCTCCACTGCAGGTGCTGGCCCGGATAGTAGAGCGAGCAGACATAAACCGCGCCTGGGATGAGCCCCGCGTCGAAGACCCCGACAAGGAATCTTGTGGCTAGCATCGCACCGTAGGTCTGGTCGAAGGCCTGGCCCAGCGTCACAACGCCTGCGATAGCACCCAAGTCAGTCCAACCAAGCTTGCTCGGAAATCCCCGCCTGTCTCGAGCAAGACATGAAGCTTCCCAAGAGCGACGCACCGAGCAAAATGGTAATGGCGCTGAGGTATTTCATATAGCCCAGCCCATAATTCTTCTCAAGCGCCCGCATCAACAGGTTGCTGGGGATCTCCAGCAGGATCAACGGGACGACGGGGATCGAGATGCACAGGAAGACCTCCATGGGGCCGAGATGCAAGTCCTGCGGCAGCTTCTGGATCAGACCCGCCCCGATATTGGTCCGGCCCATAAGGGACAGGAAGTTCAGGAACACAAACGGCACGAGGAGGTGCCGGTCGATCTTCAGGCACAGTGCCCTGTCGAAGTGGCAAGCTTGAGGCGCGGCCCCCACCGCTCTCTCCCGAGAAGAGTCGACTGGGGTTTCATGCTGTCCATCCGCGACGGCAATATCAACGGTTCCCGAGCTCTTGTCGGCCGCAGTGAGTCCCATGGCGAGATGTGTGTAAATGATGGGGGGCTATTGTTGCAGGGAGATGTCAAGGTGGGGTGAAGAAGTGAACATATTGGCCCTCTAATTATTCGGAGATCAGCACCGATGCGTGTGGTGTGCCCGGGAAAACAGGGCGACTTCGGTTCCAACAGATTGACAGGGGACGGCCCGAGTTGCCAAGTACGGGAGGCAAGGGGGGGTGGCTGTTGGTGCATGCCTGACGAATATCCCGCTCTCAGACCCCCACCGCGGAACAGGGGAGCTGCAGGGCGTGTGACGAGTCAATTATCCATGTGGTGGTGGTATGTCATGTACACTGAATGGGGAAGGTGGATAAAGGCACGGCGCGAGAGAGTCTTCCAGAGGCATGTGCCGTCTGCGACCGACTCTCAGGCAAGGGCTGTGGCAATTGCCAATCCTCAGCCCCCGAATTCCTCAGCCCCGGTCCCGCTGCTGGAAGACACGGCATATGTCTTTTCCACCCTAATTTCCCCTGATTCGTCCCTGTTGATCATATTTTCGCGGCTGTCACCAGCAACAATCTCTGCCCCCTCGTCAAGTTCAACTTCAAACCTGGTGTACAAGCCATGCGGTCGGTTATTTGAGTTGTGATGGAAAGGTTTGGCAATTTGAGGCTGGTACCTGGCCCCGAATCCCTCCTCCTGCCGAGAACCTTTAGGCTGAAAAAATCCCAGCCCTCCTCCAGGATCTTGAGCATGGTGGGCACGCACGCCGCGGTTACGCCAAATTCGACCTCCAGCTGCGATACAAAGATGCCAGTAGTTGTGATATCTGAGACACACTGGCAGTCAGCAGAAGCCTTGCAGGGTATTGTGATTTATTAACCAACAAGATATATCATCAAGGTGCTGAGAAGACAGATAGAGACCGTAGAGACGATAGACGGACGGAACAAGTTCGCTGCGGCTCGTCAGCGTCTCTCTGTACCCCGTGCCCGCAACCATATGGATTGATTACCCACCCAATGACGAGGATTGTCATCAATGTCGCAATCCAGTGTCTGCGCCGGACCGTGACTTTCATGAAGAGCCACCATGGCAAGGTCCCGGTGGCAATGATGGCCACAATGTTGAGCCCTCCGTGTGCGAACCAAAAGGGGGGCTTGTAGAAGCAGTCTTTCCGGTCGAGGCTGGGATCCCAGTTCGCCCGCGGGTCGGATCCGCACTGGAACACGGTAGCAATGGAGCAACTAATGCTATATCCGAGAATGTATGCTATCATGCCGAGGCAGAAACGGTTGAAGGCAACCATATGCGGTGCCGATATGGCGAGGAGCAGGAAACAAGTCGCCATCTTGGAAATTCCGGCACCCCACTTGTAGAAGACGGAGTAGAGAAAGTAAGCCTGCACGCGTAGGCATTGTCAGGGACGGGGGTTGGCGTTGACGTTTGCGTTTGCTTGGTATACGTACAATGAGTACTTGCTGCCGCTGGTATGGGCTTAAATCCTTCATGTGAACCCCTTCACCCCACCGGACTCCTGTTTGGAAAATGGCTAAGTAACAGGTAGAGAGATACAGACTCCCGGGGCACATAACTTACCGACAAAGAGGACAACAGAGAGTGCAAGAAGTGTGATCTGAAGAGTGAGCTGGTTGCCCATATCTCTCGTTGACTTTCAGGAGAACCCACAAAGGACAAGAGAATTGTCAAGTCGGACCAGAAAACCCAGTACGCCCACTCGCCGTATGACAGCCTTGACAGCCTTTGCGGCCGTGGCGTTCGATACCTATATCGTCCCCACAGTCGAAGTATCACGGCAATTGTTGGCAGGGGAAGGGTTAGCGCGGTGGTGAGCACCATCGCCCTCCCCACAGGATTGCCCGCCGTGGTCGGGTCCGCGGACACACGCTCCGGCATCTCGAGTACGGGGGACTCTCGTTTGTTGGGTTTGGTTGCTACCGGTGGGTTCGCTTTGGGCTCACTCCGTCTGTTGGCCACGGCCTCTACTGGTGAGTCATTCGATCAAGAACGGGCTCTGGCAAGAGAGGTTTGGTATTGGGAGGGAGAGCCTAGTTATGCGAATATTCCCTGATTCCGTCTTGCGAACCAACACGTTGATGGCAACGGGAGAGGAGAAGATCCAACGCTGACACATAGACTAGGTACTCATGCTATTTCCTGGTGCTGCCGTGCGCCACAGGCAAGGATCCGCGAATATTTGCAGGGTGTCAGGTGTGTGCCCTGCTCGATGCTCAATTCAAAACACTGCGAAGCTCAGATCTTCTGGCTTTCAATACGGACTTACTGGAAAAAGGAGGCGTAACCCAACAAGATACAGCCAAGGGTCCCCGGCTCACTGAAGAATATTAATTCCCTGTCTAGAACTTCGAAAGCGCGGAACGGAACGTCTATTGTCCCTGATTGGTTCGGTCGATCCCAACGCGGAGGTACCACGAGTTAACCCAATTTCGTATGGAACCAACAGCATTCGATTCGAGGATGGAGGTCACACCACTCGCCATGTCATGCAGTTGGTTGGAGCCAGAGCATACCCCCCCACATCCATGCCCTGGTGTACCACCTCGATGCAACACCCCGCGCCGTGGATTGGGTGGGCGACGCTGCACTTGTTTCCAACGGCACACGTAAGAAATGGCAGCGTTTGTTGAACCAACCCAACCCGGATCCCATGTTCCCGACATCGGCATGCCCACCCGAGCTCAAAGAGCGACGTACTGTTGTGGCTCTAGCCTGGAGATACAAACCTCAAGTGCACATTGACATACCGAGCCGATCCCCTGCCTTCGCCCAAGAAATGCCCTCCGATGGACAAGGAAGAAATGACGCGCCGCAGGCAGCGACACGGGATACAAATGTCGGATGGTATGACCCGCCAATCACCACCGTGGCAGAGCCGACGAGGGAACTTCTAGAAGGCTATGCTCATTTCCCACCCGACGAAGTAACCCCCCGATTGGTGGACATGGTGAGTTGTTCTCAACCCGAAGGCCAAGTATTCCGGGCCGACCTCGCGATGCTGATGTTAAGCCATTTTGTCTTGTTTAGCGAGACAAAATGTGGCAGGTCTTCCCCTTCCCCTGTGTCGGCCAGTTCCGGTTCGTGGACCTGCACCTCCACCGCCAGGAGTCCTACCAGAGGATTCTCGACATCGTCAAGAATGGTGGTCGCTTCCTCGACATCGGATGTTGCTTCGCACAGGACATGAGGAAGATGGTGCTCGAAGGCGCCCCCTCGTCGAACATGTACGGCCTCGAGCTGCACGCCGGCTTCATCGACCTCGCGTACGACTTCTTCGGCGACGCGGCCACACTCGCCGCCCGCTTCATTGTCGGAGACCTGATGGACCGGTCCAACGATGAGCTGCGGACCCTTGAGGCGACCGTGGACGTTGCCCACCTCGGCATGGTGCTGCACCTCTGGGACCTCGAGGGCCAGATCCGGCTCTGCGAGCGCGTCATCGAGTTAATGAGCCCGGCGCCCGGCTCCATGGTTGTCGGGCACAGCGCCGCGCGGGTCGAGGCCGCCGAGTGGTTCAACCCGGTCGGGAAAACCATGTTCAAACACAATGTCGAGAGCTTCGCCGAGATGTGGGACGAGGTGGGCCGCCGCACCGGAACGAGCTGGAAGGCGTCTTCATGGCTCACCTTACCGCCTGAAGAGAGTCGGCATTGGGATGACCGCCTGGCAAGGAAGCTGATGTTCAAGGTCGAGAGGCTTTAAGAGGCGAGTGTGTTCCCCAGCGCAACCCTGGGTTTGCTTGTTCATGGATGCAAATACTATGCGAGCCGAGCAATTATTAATTAACCCTCCGTGGAATCTTGTTCCAAAAGCTAGGAGGGTACCATCGTCTCAACTCTAGCTGTGATAGCCTAGTGGCTTTACCACTTTGGTGTCATCGCCGCGTGCCATCGCCGAGTGTTATAGCCGAATCCTTTGAAGCTGTTGTAACAAAGTTTAGCTTCTCATCGTTACCCGGTTTTCAGTGACGCGACCCACGCACCCCGGAGCGGAGTGACGGCTAGCTAACCTTGAATGACTGTCCATCTAATCGTAGGACTTCGTCGAATGTGAGTGTCGCTGCAACGCTGTAGGCAAAACCGAGCTAGAGTCTGGTCGTACCCGGAAAATCCGGAGTGAGCTCCAAGGGGCTTGGTTCCGTAATCCGAATCAGGCTTAGCGTTGTCCTCCGTGACTTGCCATGGGAAACATAGCACCGGATTACATCGTAGGGCTAACGGGCCGAGACGCGGCGTACTCGGCCAAACATGGTGATACTGTGGAGAGATTGGACAAGGGAAAAGAAGGCAGGAAAAGAATACATAAGTCTCGTCTCAGCGCGTTGAATGACGTCTGCTTCTACGCCCTTCTCCACGCCTGTACGTCCAACTACATCCAGCCCTGCCTAGACTCCCCGAGCTGTATCTAACGATGAGATACGGAGCCGAACGCTCACTATTCGCGGCGGCGGCCCTAGCGGTGCTGCCCCTAGCGTACGCCCAGCAACCCGGCACGCTGACGCCTGAGGTGCACCCGAAACTGCCGACGTGGAAATGCACGACGGCGGGTGGGTGCGTGCAGCAGGACACGTCGGTGGTGCTGGACTGGAACTATCGCTCGATCCACACGGCCTCAGGCTCCGCGTCCTGCACTACAGCTAGCGGCGTAAACGCGACCCTCTGCCCGGACCAGGCAACGTGCTCGAAGAACTGCGTGGTTGAAGGCGTCGACTATGCTAGCAGTGGTGTCGAGACCTCGAGCAGCGCCTTGACGCTGAAGCAGTTTGTCCAGGGCAGCACCGGCAAGCTGTCGAGTGTGTCGCCGCGCGTGTACCTCCTTGGCCCAGACGGCAACTATGTGATGCTCAAGCTTCTAGGCAAGGAGCTGAGCATGGACGTGGACCTCTCAACGCTGCCGTGCGGCGAGAATGGAGCCCTGTACCTGTCCGAGATGGACGCGACAGGCGGGCGCAGTAATGTCAACACTGGGGGCGCCAACTACGGGTCCGGATACTGCGACGCCCAGTGCCCTGTGCAGACCTGGATGAACGGCACACTCAATACAGGCCGGCGCGGATTCTGCTGCAACGAGATGGACATTCTTGAATCGAACTCCCGCGCTAGCTCCTTCACGCCGCACCCCTGCTCCAATGACGCCTCCAACTGCGACAAGAGTGGCTGTGGGTACAATCCTTATGCCCTGGGCTACAGGGACTACTACGGGCCTGGACTCAAGCTCGACACGTCCAAGCCCTTTACAGCTATCACCCGGTTTGAGACAGACGACGGCACCGCCACAGGCAAGCTCGCCCGAATCACCCGGGTCTATGTCCAGAACGGCAAAGAGATCCCAAGCGCGGCGTCGCCTTCCAAGGACGTCATCACGGCGGCAGGGTGCTCGTCTGCGAACTCGTTTGGTGGCCTTGCCAGGATGGGCGAGGCGCTTGGCAGGGGCATGGTGTTGGTATTCAGCATCTGGAACGACGGCGGGCAGTACATGCAGTGGCTGGATGGCGGCAACAACGGGCCGTGCAACACTAGCGAGGGCAGTCCTGCCAACATCCAGGCCAAGTACCCGGACGCCCATGTTGTCTTTTCGAATATCCGGTGGGGCGACATCGGGTCTACTGCTAACGTCTCTGGTGGCGGTGGCGGCGGCGGTCCTGGGTCGACGACTACGAAGCCGACTACAACTACAAAGCCGACTACGACTACGAAACCGACTACGACTACGAAGCCGACCACGACTCTTACTACCACTACAAGGCCCGGCCCATCGCAGACCCATTGGGGCCAGTGTGGTGGCCAGGACTGGTCCGGACCGACCGCGTGTGAAGCGCCATTCGCATGCCAGACCCAGAACCCGTGGTATGCTCAGTGTCTGTGAGGACTGCCCGTCTGAAAAGCACGGGAGTACCATGTTATAAGTGGTATGCGGAGGACATAGAACATTAGGCTGACTTGGCACGTGACGTTGAGGGAGAGAAGAGAAACATAGAGGTCGAGTAGGTAGTTCTATTGTAGACTGTAGCTGCATAGATTGGGGATTTCAGCGTCTTGCATTGCACACTCATACTCGGCTAGGTCCGTAGCCAATCACGAATTTCGCCCGCTTGTAGTACTGCTGCAATTGTTTCTGCTAAGCCGCAAAAAAGGCACATGTATCGTCTATCAGGGTGTCCCTGCCTATGTGTGTGGTGTCTCTCCTGGCTGTGGTATCCCTGCGTGTATACCGAGTAGTGACTTGTCTGTCAAGCTGCAGTGGAGAAAGGAATGGATGGGTGGCCTGCTACAGTCGGGGGAAATGCACACGGCTTGATGAAGGAATGGAAAGATGTAATACACGAAACAGCGTTGACAAGTTCGGACTATGAATTATCAATGTTTTAGTATTATCAATGATTCCTACTAAAAACTACTTACCAAATACTTATGTAGCAATTCACTCACATTGTGTTAAGGGAGGTGGGTAGCTGGAGTAAGTTTAGCTAACAAATAGGGCTAGATAGGTAGGCCTGATGGCTTCTGACAGGAGGTGTTGACTGCGGAGGAGAGGGCGGACGGGCAAGGATATCTCAGTGGCTGGTGGCAATGGCCTACGCCTTTGATAAAGAGTAGGTCTTGCCCCCCGGTGGGCTCAAACTCGCACGCGCATCCTCGCCTCACTCGTCCTCCTCTCCCTGGCGGTGGATATGACCACCACCGGTGTCGTCATTTGCTCTCAATTTCGCCCCCTCGTCCAGCTTGATGTCTATCCCCCCCGTCATGAGATGGTCCACATCCGAACTGAACGCCACGCAGATGGTTCCGAGAACCCCAAACGCGATGGTGATGAGGTAAACGATTCGGAACGAATGCGCATATGCCTGTTTGATCCCATTAGCCGCGATCCCGAGGACTTCTGGCGACTGCGAGGTGACCACGGAGTCCGTGACGCTGCCCCCGAGGAGGGCAGCGAGGAGGGCGGGGATGGTCTGTGGGTCGACGCCGGCCTTAGCGAGCGGCGTGGCCGCGTACTGGAAGAGGTAGTGCTTGAGCTTGGAAGTCAGCACCGACGAGTAGATGGTGGTGCCGACGGAACCGCCAATAGACCGCATGGTGATGGCGAGGCCCGTTGCGATGCCGATGTATTCGTGAGGAACGCCGAGTTGGATCATGGCTGTGGACACGATGGTGGCCGCCGATACGAACCCACCGACCAGCACGGTGAGGACGGTAGAGCCCACGTTGGACGTCGGACCTGGTCGAGTAGGGGTCAGTGGTAGCTCCCTGGCATAATAATAATAATAATGGACTATCGAGGGGCAGAATGAGTATGAATTAATACTCACTGACAATGCTCTGCGCGCCCGAAACGACGGTTAGGGCCAAGACGTAGAAAGTCAACATCAGACGTGCATGGCGAAATTTCCGGAAGAGATAACCTGCGACCGGGCCAAAGACGGAACCGGTCAGGCCGACTGTTGACGCGTACCAACCAATCTTGAGGGGATCCTGCGTGTACAGGGAGGTGACTTGCTGGGGCCACAGCACCGAGGTCGAGTAGTAGAGCATGCCGAGCAGGAACACCCCGACGGCGACCATAGTGACTCCCCGGACGTTGCGGAGTACCTTGCGAGGGAAGAGCGGGTACTCGAGATCCATGTATGCCTCCCAAAGGCCGAGGGCGACCAGCAGGGCGAATCCTACCAGGATCGGGGCGAGGGTCTTGACCGACTTCCAGGGAAATACATTCCCGCCGAAGGAGATGCCAAGGAGGAACAGGACCAGTCCAGATAGCAACAGGAAGAAGCCGACCCAGTCGAGGGACATGGCTTGCTGGAGTCGCGTCTTGTTCTCTTCTTTGATGTATTGGTTGATGGGGTGATAGAAGAAGAACACCAGAACCAAACACAGGCAATCCATAGCAAATGGCAGCCAGTATACGTACCGCCAGGAAGCATGCTTTACCATTGCGTTGCCTACCGGCATGTTAACTAAATTGTGGGCTAGTTTTTTTGGGGGTTTATTTTTTTATTTTATTTTATTTATTTTTTTTTGGGGGGGGGGGGAGGGGGGATGAGGGACGGTGAGGGAGGGGCGAGAAGAAACGGGGACAATGGCTGCTGAGACAGACAGACAGACGCACCGATGATAGGAGAAAACCCGGCGGCAGGCAACAGCGAGAGCTGGAAGATACCGAGGGCAAAGCCTCGGCTCCTCTTGGGGACCAATTCGCCGAGACAAGACCAAGCAAGCTGGTGCATGGAGCTGGCGATGCCAATAAGGCAGCTGGCGCCGATGACGGTCTTGACGCTGTGGGCGGTGGCGGCAACAGCGCAGCCGACGGCGGCGATGACATTGCCGATGAGGAGGAAGTTCCGGCGCCCGAAGATGTCGCTGACGCGGCCGATGGCGGGGGAGAAGACGGCCCCTCCGAGGACTAGGGCAGTGACCATCCACGTGTAGCTGCTGTCAGGGCCGATGTCATCGTTGATCGCTGTGAGGGTGGAGGCCACCATGGAGACCACGAAGACGTCAGACATGTAGCCTAGCTGGAAAGAGGCCATGGCGAGCAATTTCGCCGGGGTCATCTTGAAATGTTCCTCTTCTTCGGCGGCCGCAGTCACCGTCACCTCGTCGTTGGCATATTCGACCTGCTTCTCGGCCTCCTCCGCCATCTTGGGCGTGGCCATGCTACTGTCGTTACTGAAAGACATGATTTTTTATATTGTGCTGGATAAAGGTACTGGCGGAGACAAACTCCCGTGGTGCTGTGTTCGCGAGGGAAAGAGGACACAGACTGACAAAGCTCAATAAGAAGAGATGGGAGGAGGCGGAGCAGGTTTAATGAGACTCGAAAGGATTGAGCTCGAGACCGAGGCTCTCCTCTGTTGAGGCTCGGTCTGCAGGAACCTACCCTGGGTTGGAGACTTCTCCCCGCAGGAAGCAACTCTGATCCATTTCCCCGGCGGCCGGGGGGGGAAGTACCAAGTTAAAATTGAAATCATCTTTATCTGACAAGACGCTTTAACGCCAGTGACGACGCTTTCACCCCATTAGCCAAAAGAAACATGCCCATAGGCGTTCACACCGCCTCCTTTCTTGGTTCTCTTGGTCCGCCCCGTTTCTCTCAATGGTTTTCCAACACATTGCTGTCCGGCCCGGCGTGGTGCTTTATTCCGGTTCGCAGCAGAACGAGACCGTATGGGGCGAAGGGATATCACGTAATTAACTCATTGCGAAATTCAAGTTAGACTGCGACGGAATGGGTGAAGGCGTTGTCCCTGATCAACAAATCAACGCGCCGAGTAGCATAGTATCTGTCCTCGAGAGCCATGCCAGACAAGCCCTCTTTGGCAACATGGAGGAAGAAGGGGAATGTGCAAATTCCGAGTTGGTGAGGTGGGTGGATTGTGCTGCTGAAATTGTGTGCAAGCTCATGCTTATGCTCATGCTTTCGACCGACTGCCACCTCGACCGACTCGCCATCCCATGGGCTGCCAGGCGCACTCTTCCATACATGGAACTGTACATACTACGCCGGAAACCCTTACCTGACATTACCCGTATGCTCCATAACTAAGCGGCGAGGTGAGAGGGTATTACTGAGCACGTCCTACATTTATTCCATGGGAAGGCAATAAACCACGTGTAATAAATACAACCTAACCTATGCCGTACATTTCGTGTGGGCGCGGCAGTGGCATGATGATGTACGCGCTGGAGCTCCTTACCTACAGGACATGCCAATGGACAACTAGATAAAACCTGGCATCACGAATATATAAAGCATCACGACGACTACAACCAGGCCGGCGCTTTCATCGGGTCAGGTAAAATCAGTCCGTACCACGGGGACTCGAGTTGAAGCAAGTAATCAATTCAAGCAAATTTGACCACCTCTACTTATACGCAGCGAAGGCGTGCCCGGTCCTGTTAGGAGAGAGAGCATTTAGTTCATACTGCGACGATGCAACTAGGTTAGCGTGACGCTCCAATTAGAAGAAGCCCGAAGCTTTCAAGACACATTGAAACGACTCACTTTATCCAGATCGCCTTGGGCTCCGTATAGTGCCTCAAGGCGTACTCCCCAAGTTCCCTCCCAATCCCGCTGCACCCGAAGCCTCCCATCGGGACCTGCGGGCCAACCATGGCCGAACAGTTTATGGAGATGGTGCCCCCGCGAAGCTTGGCGCTGACGCGCAGCGCTCGCTTCAGGTCGTTGGTGTAGATGGAGCCTGCAAGCCCGTAATGGGTGTCGTTGGCCATCACCAGAGCCTCCTCCTCGGTCTTGAAGGTCCTGGCACAGAGAACCGGCCCGAATATCTCCTCCCTGTAAATGTCGGCGTCTTTATCTGGCTCTAGGAAGATGGTCGGCGCCACGTAGTGACCGCCCTTGGTGTACTCATCCCCGCCGGTGAGCAATGTGGCCGCCCGTTTTCCGCTCTGGATCGAGTTCCAGACCTTGTCGTACTGCGCGCGGTCGACCAGGGGACCGTACGTGGTCGTCTTCTCCTGCGGATCGGCCCCCATTGCCGACGCAATGGCCGTGAACTGCTCCTTCATGCGCGCTAGGAAGGCCTCTGCGATGTCTTCTTGGAGGTAGATGCGAGACGTCGCGGCACACACCTGGCCGGAGTTGATGGTTATGCCCAGGACGGACCAGAAGAGGGCCGTTTCCATGTCGGCGTCGTCGAAGACGATGGCCGGGCTCTTCCCGCCAAGCTCCAGCGTGACGCGCTTCAGGTTGCTCTTGGTAGCAGCTTCCTGGATCTTGCGTCCCGTGGCGGTCGAGCCTGTGAAGCTGATCTTGGCAATCTTCATGTGGCTACTGAGGAGCCCGCCGACCCGCCCTCCGCCGGCGATGACCTGGAACACGCCCGGTGGGAAGCCAGCAGCCTCGATGAGGTAGCTCGCGGCGAGCGACCCCAGAGGTGATTTCTCAGACGGCTTCAGAATGACCGTGTTGCCACAGGCAAGCGCCGGGGCAGATTTCCACGCGAAGAAGTGCAGAGAGCCGTTCCATGCTGTGATGCCGGCGCACACGCCGAGCGGCTCCTGTCTCACGATCTTGTAGAATCCGTCTTCTGGGGGATAAGAGTCTCCCCTGATCTTGTCGGCCCAACCAGCATAGTCTAGACACGCGCAGTTCTGGTCAGTATTAAACCGCGCGGGAGAGACAGCAGATCACAGATCACAGATCACAGGCTTACATCGAAACACGGCCGAGACCCGGGGTAGCTCCCCGATGACCATCCCCAGCGGCCTTCCGCTGCAGACGCTTTCGAGGTAGGAAATCTCCTCGGCGTGAGCGTCGAGCAGGTCGGCGAACTTGTTCAAGCAGTCGGCCCGTTTTTGGCCCGTGTACGCAGCCCAGGGACCCTCGAAGGCCTTCTCGGCCTCGTCGACAGCTCTGTCGACATCGGCCGCCGAGGCCTCGTGAACCTTGGTGGTGATAGTGCTTCCGTCCTTCGGGTTGATGAGCTCGAGCAGCGGACCTTCACCTTGTGTCGGCTACGCCCATGTGAGCACATAAGCGTTCCGTGGGTTGGTCGGAAGGGAGAGGAAGACCCGGGGCCGCGATCTGCCTCTAACTTGTACCTTACCTTGTTAGCAATGAGGAGGCCGAAAGCACCAAGCTTCGTATCAATCAGTTTCCCAGCCATGATGGCCAAGCACTTTCTTGATCAACAAACGTCTATTACTGCGTAGTATCTGGGCAGGCCCTACTCCCCTCCCCTCCCCCCACAGGCAGGCGGCTGGAGTTCTCTTTGTAGGATTGCAATGTAGATCAGTTGCCGGAAAGTTCTGTGCCGCAGAGCTATATCCAACCTCATCACCTATTCGCTGGAACATCCCACTGGCGTGCGGAGCATCGCTTTGCTCCCTGCTCCCCTGCTCCCCGCTTAACCCCGCTTTCCCCCGCTTTCCCCCGCATTCTCCCGCTCCCCCGCCCCCCCGCTCCCCCGCTCTGCGTTAGAGCACAAGGGACAGAAAAGATGCTGTCAGATATGTCCCGCCGATAATGGTTTATCAGTCGGCAGAGCGGAATCGTGGAATGAGGGGCAGGTCTATGTGGTCGATTCCAGGTAATGGAAATGCCGATGAAAATGCATGCAAGGTCGACGGGCCCTGGGTTTTATATCAGAGAGACTGGCTGGCCATCAAGGTCTCGCCATGTCCCATCCATACACACTAATAGTTCATTCATCTATTGTCCGACAAATGACGGGCCTAGTATCAGAAGCCGTGGCGCCAGCGACTGCAGTCAAGGGGAAGACCCCGAAGCTGATGAAGGCAGCGATGATCGTCGAGGTGACTCTCACCCTGCATATTGATAATAATACCTGCAATACTCAGCAGGGAAAAGTTGCACCTACAACTGCACCTGCACCTGTGCCTGAACCTATACCTGAACCTTTAACGTTTGCTGATACACAAATACCGGAGCAATCTAGTTCAACAAGCCACTCAAAATTATCGACGATGCCCCCGTTCCCCAGCCCGGACCAAACCAGATCCTGGTCCGCATCACCGCATCGTCTCTCTGCATGAGTGACATCATGGGCTACCAGGGCCTGACGCAGAGCCCGCTGCCTTATTGCGGCGGTCACGAGCCCGTCGGGGTCGTCGAGGGGCTCGGTCCCGGGGTTGTCGGCTTCAAGGCGGGCGACCGGGTTGGCTTCATGCCTGCTTCACGCAGCTGCCAGGACTGCCCAGAGTGCCTGTCGGGAAATCATCGATTCTGCGCCGCGAGGACCTCGGTCGGCTTCAGCGGCCCCTACGGAGGCTTCTCCGAGTACTGCCTCTCGGATCCGCTGTCGACTGTAAAGATCCCGGACGGAATCTCCGACGAAGCTGCGGCTCCGCTGTTCTGCGCCGGAGTGACTGCGTACGGCGCGGTCAAGAAGGCGGCTCAGAGGCAGGTCGGTGGGAGTGTGGTCAACATCATCGGCTGCGGAGGTGTCGGCCATCTGGCCATCATGTACGCCAAGGCAATGGGATTCAGTGTCACGTCAATCGATATCGCCGACGAGAAGTTGGAGCTTGCCACTCGATGCGGCGCGGACGTTGTGATCAATTCTCTAAAAACACCCAAGCAGAAGATCCCACAGGCTGCGACGACAATCGTCATCAGTGGAGCGACGCAAGCCTATTCCTTCGCGCTGGATGTCACTCAGAATCACGGCACTATCATTGGTGTTGGCGTACCGCACGGCCTGATTTCATGCGATAGTGAGTCGTGAGGAGCTGTTTAGACACCAGTCATCATCTTTGTCAGGGCATGCGCTGATTCTTGTCGTCGTCTATCGCCAGTGACTCAAATGATACTCCGCGACGTATCTCTGATCCCGACCAACCAGGGATCAAAGCTAGAACTCTACGAGTCCCTGCAGCTTGCCGCTCTGAAGGGCATCGAGCCGGTGGGAGAGGTCTGTCTTCTGCCCCAGAGTCTTGCTTAAAACTCGCGCGTGTCATTAATAATAGCTAACAACCGAGCGTGCAGACAAAGAACATCAAGGAGATCAACCAGGGGTATGAGGACATGAAGGCGGGAAAGATCGTAGGGAGAATTGTCTATACTTTCGACTAGGGCTAGATACCAGGCCTATTAGAAGTGGACAATAAATCATCCAGGGTCTGAGGTCTTAGACCGAGTCTCTCCGTCTTGCCGTAAGCCGGAAGCACCTCGGAAAAAACTGTTTGACATTGTTAATTAAAATATCACACACCCTTCTGTGCAAGTCCCGAACGATTTCTTTCAAGTCATCCCTGTAACAAGAGAACTGAGCTTCTTCCCGATAGCATCAGCTCCCGATAGTAAACCAGCATCAGGCGTTCCAAAAGGAAGGGCCAGGTACTTCTTCTCGTTCTTCACCGACTCCGAGACCTGCCAGTCATGGCATGCCCCGGCCTTCACATTGTACATAACATTGGCGCCAGCCGCCTTCGCCGCCTCTACAAACCGCGAGATGTTCTCCAGGAACAGCTCGTCTCCACCAGCAAACACGTAGGTGATCTCTGGCAAGATCTGTCCCAGGCCCGGCCGTGTGCTCCCCGCCGTCGTGAATTCCAGGTAGTTCTCGACGTCCGCCCGCTTGGCGCCGGCGACCGCCATCGTCGCCCAGCGGCGCAATACGGAACCGACCAGGAGGTCGGAGTCTGCCTTGTCCGAGTATCCGCCCTGGTCGAAGAGACTGACCCAAGGGCTGAGGAGAAAGGCGCCCCTCCCCGGGGCTGATCGGATTGTCGGCGACTTGACAGACGGCAGAGGATATGCCAAATGGGTCAGGAGGGAGAGGCAGATGGAGCCGCCCGCGGAGTCGCCCATCAAGGCAATGTTGGATCCGGGGATGTTCTGCTCCGTTGTCAGGTATTCCCAGCACGCCGACGCCTGCCCAAGCTGGCGGGGAAACACGGACTCGGGCGCCAGGGAGTAGTCGAGCACGAAGATAGCCACCGTCTTCCCCGTGTCTGCGACGGTCTCCGCAACTCGCAGCAGCATTGCGGCGAACTGGTTAGGCTGCGACATGACGTAGCCGCCTCCGTGGATATATAGGATCACGACATCGGCCTCGCTGGGGGGCGCTTTGCCGTCGAAACGCGGCTTGCAGAGCCAGTTTCCGGCGAAGTCGGGTCGCTCGACTCGTTCGTTCAGGTTCTCCACGATGCTGCCGTAGCGCTTCGATTTAGAGAAATGATCAATGGTTGACGGGCGCCGGAGAATGGACAAGGGTAGGCAAAGGAAGACTCTTGGGGAATGCCGTTAATTAGCCCTCTCTCTTGCAGCCATTTCTCCAAGGGGTTAATAAGTTGTGGCTCAAAGAACTCACTTGCGCACTATAGATCGCTCGAGATCATCGCGCCATGGCCGGACGCTTCTAGAGAAAGGCCGGCAGATGAAGAAGGAGGCAACATGGAAAGCGAGTCGGAAGACGCCCATGACCGTTCGGGGAATGTCGCCTAGAGGAATACGTCCGAATCCTGGATTGGGATTGCAGTCGTGCTGGGGGGGTGCAGCCATGGTTTGCTTAAGTGAGTGTATGAGAGTATGAGTGCAGTCGTATGTGAATGTGTGCCTATGCCTGAGTGCGGAAGTGTGTTGGATGTTGGATGGGCAGGAAGATCGACTCTCGAGACAAGCTACAATTGGAACTCGCAATTCGCGCTATCAGCTATCTATCTGTATTGCACTAGCAGAAGGAGCAAGCGTTGTGGCAAGTTGGGGTCCCCAGGCGCACCGACTCACTGGAACGAGCATAACGTTTAGCATAAAAATTCTAGCAGTCAGAAAAGGGTGACAGCTTCCCAGGACCCAGTCTTCCCCACCCAACCAGCCCCCGCCCTACTCACCCAAGTTGCCTAGCCGATCAGACAAGCGATGGACCCCCATCATCCCAACGCAAGATACGCAGGGCTTCAAAAAGAAAACGAGTTCCCTTCTCAGCTTTCCCAAAGCTCGGTATGAAGCGACAGACATCGAACATCGAACTCCTTTTTGACCAGCCCACGCACACTCCACACTCCACACTACCACACTCTCACACGAGCCAGACAACGACTGGGCTTGCTTGCCGTCCCTGAACCGGCGGGGGGGGGGGGGGGGGGGGGGGGGGGGGGGGGGGGGGGGGGGGGGGGGGGGGGGGGGGGGGGGGGGGGGGGGGGGGGTGTG